AGACGGAGTCTCGCTCTGTCGCCCAAGCTGGAGTACAGTGGCCGGATCTCAGCTCACTGCAAGCTCCGCCGCCCGAGTTTACGACATTCTCCTGCCTCAGCCTCCCGAGTAGCTGGGACTACAGGCGCCCACCACCTCGCCCGGCTAGTTTTTTGTATTTTTTAGTAGAGACATATCTGGAAATTTTTTATATCATCATTTTCTTATGTAAGTGTTAGTTATACGCTAGGCATTGTTCTTAAGAGTTATATGCTAGGCATTGTTCTAAATGTTTTACAAATACTTTCATTTTATCCTCAGTAGACCCTATGAAGCCAGGATAATTATCCTAGAAGTGGTCTCTTTTTTGTTTAGCTTGTCATTATGGGAAATTACAAGTATATACAAAAGTTCAACTAGTATAATAGACTCTCATCTACCTATCACCCACATTTACTAGTTATCAACTTAGAACCTTGTTTTTTCTAGCATTTAATAGTATTCCATTCTGTGGATAAACAGTAATTTATTTCACCAGCATTCTGTTGATGGACATTTAGATTATTCATAAAAGAAAAAAAAAATGTAGTTCTGCATGTCCTTTTCTAATTATTTATACTCACAAGTATACCCGTAGGGTAAATTCCTAGCAGTGGATTTGCTGCATCACAGAGGATGTACATTTAACATCTTGATAGATTTTTGTCAAATACCCCTTTATATATTTTTGAGACAGGGACTCTTATCCAGGCTGGAGTGCAGTGGAACAATCTTGGCTCACTGCAACCTCCTTTTCCCAGCTCAAGCAGTCCTCCAGCTTCAGCCTCCCGAGTAGCTGGGACTATAGGCATGAGCCACTACGCCTGGCTCTTTTTTGTATTTTTTGTAGAGATAGGGTTTTGCCGTGTTTGCCAGGCTGGCTCGAACTCCTGAGCTCAAAGCAATCCACCTGCCTTGGCCTGCCAAACTGCTGGGATTACAGGTGTGAACCACCATGCCCAGCCTATCAAATATTACTTTCTAAAGCCATTTAGTTATCTTTCCATCATAAGATGTTTATGATTAGATATAGTGCCTTGAAAAAATGACTTTGTGAGATAGTTTTAAAATAGAAATGTTACGGGAATTTCTGGAACAAGAAAGAAGATCAAGTGAATACCATCATAATTGGCTTGTGTGGGTTAAAAAATAGAGGTTCAAAAGTTTGAAATTCATTATTCATAGAATATTTAAAATGTGCATTCTGTTCAGGGGGTTTTAATTCTATTAATGAATTTTGAAGCTAGGAAATTGAAGTGGGTGGGGTGATCATTTTGATTTTTAGAGGATAGTTGTGGTTAGACTGAAGTATGTACAAAAAGATTCTGGGTCTCTGTATTTCTGAGAATGTTGTTTATGTGATTGGGTAGGAGAGAAATTTCTCAGTGAAGAGTGGAAATTTTCCATGCATTTGATGTTTGTTTATTGCGCTTGAGTTTAGTTATACCTAAGGGAATTGGAATAGAATGGAAGGAAACTTCCCTTCTGGGGTTCCCTTTCTGCCATGAGGTGCACTGCATTGACTGTACTTCAGAGTGGGAATAGGAAGGAAGCCATTGCAGTTGGGTTAATGGAGAGTACTGCTTTCTTGATGGCATTGTATTTCAAGTAAAACATTAAACTTCTTTGGCCTTCTGTGCCTAAATTATAAGACAAGGTTAGGGAAGGATGGCAAGGAAATCTGAATTGTTTAGAAATTTCTTTAAACATCAGAATAGTCAGGGCTAGTTTAGATTCTTTGACTATTTAAAAGGAGATCCCTTTCTTCATCTTTGGCCTGAGGTTCTCCAAAAATGTATCTGTTTCTAGTTTGATTCCCCACCCCCAACCAGCTAAAGCAGTTACATATTGTAGGACTTTGTTATGGTCAGCAGGGGGCACCCATTGCTTGTCTGTCAGTCCAGGGATTTCCAATAAAAGGGTGGAAGAGAGTACTTGTTCCAGAATTGCTTCCTCTGAAAATGTCATTAAACCATTACTACCTTTCAGGGCATCAAATGGGAAAAGTGTCCGGGATATTGGAACAAAAGCTGCCCATGTCTCTAAATGAGGGACCTTAATGAGACTGGTTATGACCCACAGTTTTATGGGAGTTGTTTGGTGGAGGGTTAATGCCCTTCCATTTATCCTGGGTACTTCCGAACTTTGTCTCCCGCCCCTATGGTCCCCCCTCTTTTGTTTTCTCTTAAACCTTTGACCAGTAACATGCCATGTTTTCCTGATTCAAACTCCCCTTAGACTTTTTTCTTCCTACCTTCTTTGGCATTTTTATTTGTTCCACTTTGTTCCAACTAGAGCTACATTCCTCATGGGAGAAATAAGGGATTTTTAAAAGAAGGAAACCAGACCTTGTAGAGTACTTAATTGTTGTGATGAATATTGGGAGCTGGTGCTTAAAGGAGGATTGGAGGGTTACTCATTAGTTCAAAAGTAAATTAAAGGCTGGGCTTGGTGGCTGACGCCTGTAATCCCAGCACTCTGGGAGGCTGAGGCAGGTGGATCACTTGAGGCCAGTTCGTAACTAGCCTGGCCAACATGGTGAAACCCTATCTTTACTAAAAATACAAAAATTAGCTGGGCGTGGTGACAGGCGCCTGTAATTCCAGCTACTTGGGAGGTTGAGGCAGGAGAACCTCTTGAACCCAGGAGGTGGAGGTTGCAGTGAGCTGAGATTGCACCGTTGCACTGCAGCCTGGGTGACAAGAGCAAAACTCCGTCTCAGAAAAAAAAAAAAGTAAATTAAAAAGTTCCTAAAAGCAAATGAGATGGTTTCTGGTGTCCTTTGAGTGTTTCCCTTCAGCCCAATGTATTTAACCAGACTTCTTTCCTTATTTCTTTATTGTACTTTAGCTGAAGAAGATTAGTTTGTTATTTGAACTCTTTCTTCTCAATAGATGACAGTTAAAGGAACCAAAGCTCTAGTGAACTTCATGTTTCTTTGGCATAAGGGGTGGCAGAGAGATAATAGGGCAGAGATAATTCAAGTGAATTCTTACACATTTCTGAGGTTGTGGTTTAGAATATCAGTTTTCTCATTTTAAAAGATCTCTTTCTTTTCTAGGGCAGCAGAGAAGAAAGTGGTGAAAATTACATCTGAAATACCACAGACTGAGGTAGGTATTCTGTTCCCTAGTAGAACAGTCTCTACATTTCTGTCTCCCTCTTACCCTTTATTATATCTGCATCATCCTCTAAAATTTATTCACAGGCAGAAAATCAGTATTGACAGATTTTGGTGTTGAAACGTTTCACTGCCAGCTGCTCTTTGGAAAATATTTGGCTGGCATAGGGTAGTCTTTCTTGAAGCTGTAGTCTTTTTATATGTAACACTATTGTCTTAACAATGACTCTCTTTGAGATGTTTACAAACCTAGGATTAGAATTTGGGAGGATTGTACTTTGAAAATGTATTGGTAGATGTGACTCTTATGTTGCTACCGGCCAGTAGCTGAGATTGAAATTCCACTGGTTTCTGTGGGGTAGGACTGTGAAACCAGGTTCCAGTTGAGATCTTGTGTTCAGTGTCATACTTGCAAAGTAGAGAATTATTAAACTCTTTTAGAATGGCATAAAACAATGCTGCCTCATTTCTAACTGAAAGAATGCCATTAGTGTTGGAACCAAGCTATTCCTTTGATCACTTTTCAAAGGTCAGCCAAACATAGCTTTTGACTTCTTGGCTTCATGTATAATGTAGGTTTTACTTTATTTCTCCCTTTTGTTTTTGAGGATATGTAATAATAGTCTTTTTGTGTTTGCTTTCTGGGAAGGGCTGTTAAGTCCTAGTATGGACACAACCTGCTATCTTCTAGGATTGTCAGTATTTTCAGTTTGGACCCTAAGAAATGACTTCTGATGTTTTTAGGATACCTTCTTTTGGCTGGGTGGGGTGGCTCACGCCTGTAATCCCAGCAGTTTGGGAGGCTGAGGTGGACAGTTCACTTGAAGTCAGGAGTTCGAGATCAGCCTGGCCATCATGGTGAAATCTCATTTCTACTAAAAGCACAAAAATTAGCTGGGCACAGTGGCACAGTCCTCTAATCCCAGTTACTTGGGAGGCTGAGCCACGAGAATTACTTGAACCCAGGAGGCTGAGGTTGCAGTGAGCTGAGATCATGCCACTGTACTCCAGCCTGGGGGACAGAGTGAGACTTTTAAAAAAATTTTTTTATTTTTATTATTTTTATTTTTTTTAAAGATACCTACCTCTGACTAACTTTCTTAAACCATAAATTGACTTCTTTTTTCTTCCTTTTTTTTTTTTGTCTATTTTTACTTAGAGAATGCAGAAGAGGGCTGAACGATTCAATGTACCTGTGAGCTTGGAGAGTAAGAAAGCTGCTCGGGCAGCTAGGTGAGTGTCCCCAGCCTTTTGGGCCTGCGATAGTGATGTTGTAAAGGTGAAGATATGTAATCCTAGGTTTCTGATATAATTGTTGATTTAAGTAGAATAGAGGCTTGCTGAAGGATATGAACACTTTTTTGACCCTATTCAGAACGTATCTACTGGTTTGGTTATAGTAGCTATAAATTGGGCTTTATTGAGAAGGGTTTTTGTAACAGTTAAAGCCAGGAACTGACTACTACTACTAATTCTGATAAGGCTTCCTCTTAGCTTAATCTCTGGACTTGGTAAGAGGGAGAGTAAACTGAACCTCTTTCATGGGGTTGTTAGAATTAGCTAATGATTGCAAGACTTGAGATCACAAGCAAGAAGTGTCATATGTATACTTGACACGGAGACAGACAACCAGGAGTGTGAACAGCTTCCTAAAATTTAGTTTGTTTTTCCTTCTTCAGGTTTGGGATTTCTTCAGTTCCAACAAAAGGTAAGAGTACAGAGATACTTCTGAGAAAGTTACCCTTTTATTCTTTCTTTTCTGGTATAACAGGTTTCATTTCTCCAAAATAAGGTAAATTTGCTAGCTGTAGAAACTCTTAAGAGATTATAGCATTCGTCTCCTGCTTTAGATAAAATTATACTTAGGCCTTCCTGGGCAATTAAAAGAGATACTGAATGTTATGAGAGGATAGGAAGTGCCAACATTTGTCTGTCTTTCTTGAACATCTTCAAAGAAGTTTCTCTAGTACTTTGCTTACTTATTCTAGGGTCTCAACTGCATAAAATTATTGCATACTTTCCAGTGTTATACTGGCTATTATAAGTGATAAAAGGGAAAAGAATATCTTCTACCTTAACAGTTTTACTTCTAGGAATGTATAAGGAAATAGTCTTGAATGTGCATAAAGACTTAGCCTCAAGGATTATCACAGCATTATTTATAGTGATCAATAACTGGAAACAACCAACTGTACAACAGAGAATTGGTTATTAAATGTGTGCCATGGTATAGAAGACTATACTGTGCTGAAATAATATTGAAAGATATTTATCAGCGGTATTAATAAAAAGTTACAAATTTATATTAACAGTATGTTCCCATTTTAGTCATGTAAGAGTGCATGTATAGATAGGAAAAAAGGTTGGAAAGATATACAGTAGACACTTGAACAACACAGGTTTGAACTGCACAGGTCCACTTATACATGGATTTATTTTTTTTCCCCAATAAATACACTTTGCCCTCTGTATCTGAGGGTTCTTCATAACCAAATGTGGTTCAGAAATACAGTATTTTTGGGATGCGAAACCTGCAGATATGGAGGAGCAACTTATTATAATCTGCTGCAGAACTTGAGCATAGTGGATTTTGGTATCAGCTGCAGGGGTGGGGTTAGATCCAATCCCCTGAGGAAATGGAGGGATGACTGTATTCTAAATTGTTAGTACTCATTATCTCTGGTTGGTGGAATTTTGAATGATTTATTTCTTTTTGCTTGTCTGTGTTTTTAAAATCCATACAATGAATATGTATCACTTTTATAATGAATTAGAGGAAATTATTACTATTTTTTGAGACACAGTCTTGCTCTGTCACCCAGGCTGGAGTGCAGGGACGCAGTCTGGCTCACTGCAACCTCTGCCTCCCGGGTTCAAGCTATTTTCCTGCTTCAGCCTGCTTCAGCTGGGACTGCAGGTGCGTGACACCACACCCAGCTAATTTTTGCATTTTTATTAGAGACAGGTTTCACTGTGTTGGCCAGGCTGGTCTTGAACTCCTGACCTCAAGTGATCCACTCACCTCTGCCTCCCAAAATGGTGGGATTACAGGTGTGCCGAGCCTGAAATAGTTATTATTTTTAAGAAACTCTGGGTGTGGTGGCTCACACCTCTAATCCCAACACTTTGGAATGCCAAGCTGGGAGGATTGCTTGAGCCCAGGAGTTGGAAACTAGCTTGGGAAACAAAGTGACACCTTGTTTCTACAAAAAATTAAAAAATTAGCTAGACATGGTAGCAGGTGCCTGTAGTCCCAGCTACTTGGGACGCTGGGGTGGGAGGATCTCTTGAGCCTGGGAGGTCTTTGCTGTGCTTTTAAAAAGGTGGAAAAATTTCTGGCCACTATCACTAAGTGTTATAGAAAAAAAAATTTTTTTCTGACTCTTAGTTATACCAAGAGAGATATAATATAATTGGTGAAGATACAACAGAAATTATAGAAGGTGGTGCTTTTTAATTTTTTTTAAGAGACAGGGTTTCACTATATTGCCCATGCTGGACTTGAGCTCCTGGGCTCAAGCAACCCTCCCTCAACCTCCTGAGTAACTGGGACTACAGGTGCGTGGCTAAAATACTATTTGAAGAAAGATAATAGTTAATAGTCTGAAAAGGGAACCTGATAAAAAATACAGTTTCAGTTTTACTCTTAATTCTGACATCTTAGAATTATAGAGTAACTCGCCGGGCGCGGTGGCTCAAGCCTGTAATCCCAGCACTTTGGGAGGCCGAGATGGGCGGATCACCTGAGGTCAGGAGTTCGAGACCAGGCTGGCCAACATGGTGAAACCCTGTCTCTACTAAAACTACAAAAATTAGCCGGGCGTGGTGGCACATGCCTTAATCCCAGCTACTTGGGAGACTGAGGCAGGAGAATCACTTGAACCCCGGAGGCGGAGGTTGTAGTGAGCCGAGATCATGCTTCTGTACTCCAGCCTGGGCAACAGAGTGAGACTCCGTCTCAAAAAAAAGAAAAAAATCATTATTTCCAACTCAGCATAAAAGTATTTAGCTCTCTAGAAAGCCATTGGAAGAAACTTATCTGACATTGGTTATATGTTTTGCTTAGTAAAAAAACTAAACACTAAAAGTAATCATTATTGTGCCACTATGGAACACTTGTGTACAACTTTGTTCCATCTTCCATTTAGGTTAACTTTTTTTTTTTTCCCAATCTCTTTTGAGACAGGTTCTCACTCTGTCACCCAGGCTGCAGTGCAGTAGCATGATCACAGCTCATTGCAGCCTCCATTTCCCAGGCTCGAGCAAGCCTCCCACCTCAGCCTCCTGAGTAGATGGGACCACAGACGTGTGCCACCATGCCTGGCTAGTTTTTTGAATTTTTTTTTAAGAGACGAGGTCTCCCTGTGTTGCCTAGCTGGTCTCGAACTTCTGGCCTCAAGCCATGCTCCTGCCTTGGCCTCCCAAAATGCGGGACTATAGGTGTAAGCCACTGCACCTGGCCTGGGTTATCATTTTTTATATTAACCAGAAATATAGCATCAGGTCCGTGTGCCTAGCATGATGCTGAGACCATCTATGCTCAGTGGGAATACTTGCTCATTTATGTGAAGTAAGAAAAAATTTGGAGTTGAGAGGCAGAGTATGTGATTCTTAAGCCACATGCACCTTAATTGGGAAGGGCTGTTATAAACCAAAGGTCACTTGTGTTGTGCCAGATGGCCAAGGGGAAGGATGCCTTGGATCTGTGGCCCTAGTTCTCGTCTGTCTTCTCCTCTTTTATATGAGGGCTAGATGTCTGAGAACCCCAGCAGTAAAAATTCACTCCATCTTCTAAGGAATTGTCTGTGTTCCTTCAGAATCTACAAAATTGAACATCATCTCTCTTACTACATAGCTCATAACTCCTACTACACATTGCTGAGAAGAATTTGTCCATGAATGCTATACTATATACCTGTGTTATTTTTATAGTATTTCATTACAGGAATAGCAGGTCTTTCTCTTCCCTTCCCTAGACTTTTTCTCTTTCTTTGACCTTTTTTCATTTTTAATCCACAGGAGACTGAGTAAAACAGATACATATATTAACTTTGTGACTTTGAGCAAATTACTGAACTTCTTTGATCCTCATCTGTAAGACTTAGAGCAATACCTAGCAACCTGATTGGGAAGAGTGAATAATTGGATACAGGGCCAGGTGCAATGTCTTATGCCTGAAATCCCATGATTTTGGGAGGCTGAGGTAGGAGGATTAATTGAGCCCAGGAGTTTGAGGCTGCAGTGAGCCATGATAGTGACACTGCACTCCAGCCTGGGTCTCTTTTTTTTCTTTTTTCCTGAGACAGGGTCTTGTTCTGTCACCCAGGCAGTGCAGTGGTGCAGTGGTGCGATCTCAGCTCACTACAACCTCTGCCTCCTGGGTTCAAGTGATTTTTCCCACCTCAACCTCCTGAGTAGCTGAGAATATGGGAGTGCGCCACCACACCCAGCTAATTTTGCATTTTTAGTAAAGATGGAGTTTCTCCATATTGTCCAAGCTGGTCTCAAACTTTTGGTCTCAAGTGATCCACCCACCTTGGCTTCCCAAAGTGCTGGGATTACAGGCGTGAGCCACTGCACATGGCCTAGACTCTGTCTTTAAAAATAAAAATTGTATACAGTATTCGAAATTACCTAACAGTGCTACTTTGACCCTCAATAAATGTTGGTTTTCTTCCTTTTTTTTAGTTCAGTTCTGTTGGTAAATTGCCTTTATGGCCTTAAAATTGAGTCAATTAACTTGACTCAATTTTAGTTTTTGTTGATCATTGATAAGATTTCAGCACCCATTTTAAGTCTCTGGAGGGTTGTAATACAATAATGGTAATTGGCAGAACTCTGGCTCTGAGCTTCCTTCTCTAATAACATTGATTGCCAATATGTATAGCATATTTTTTTATTTGCGTATGTGCTAGAGTAGTGCTTCTGAAATTATCTGTGGCAAAAAACTAGTTTAAAAATTTTTTTGATTATTGCAGAGTGATAACTTTTATAAAATGCAATTAAAATGTTACAACAGTATTAAATTATTCTGAAAGTTTCTTAACATTTTCAATTTCTGGACCTTTACACACTGGTAAGAAACAGTTTGGAGACTAGCACCAGGAGGCAGACTATATTTTAAGTAGCACTTTAGTAGCATATGTATGGTTTCTAGGGACTACTTTACTTGGAGATTTGTGACCTTTTGAGATGTCCTCTTTGAGTATAGGCCCCATTTACATTGGTTATAAGTCTTGATTTTCAGAACCATCCTAATTTGAACAGTTTGGTCTGTTTTGTCCCGTAAAGCATCACAGTGTCCCAGAAATGCTGATGTTTTGCTGTCTACACCAGCACTGTCCAATAAAACTTATTTTACAAAGCCATTTGTGGCTAGTGGCTACTGTATTGGACAACTCATATCTAGCTTATATCTCCCACACAGCTTTCATACTTGGAAGTGGCATAGAAATTACTTGTCAGACCATATACTTGCACCACTGTTAATCTGTAGCTGAGAATTTTTTTTAATAATTGTAGAAAATATAAACAGTTTCAGAGTAAATCTATGAAAGGAAAGAAGTTGGAGGAAAAGGAGTAAGACATAAGAAAAGTAAGGATTCTTTTTTTCTAGAACTTAGTGTTCTAGTGAACAGTTCCACATCTTGGAATTGCAGCTGGGTACATTGTCTGGTGAGAATTGGCTAGTTCTTGTGCTTAACTATTTATCACCAGAATGAGTTGTTACCTAGTGTTTGGTTGGTTGGCAGAGGTTAGTGACTTAGTTAAGTTTGTGTTTATGGAACTGCCAGATGAGCATACTTTTGTCCACTTCATCCTGGGATTCTGGGTTCCAGTGTAACCTTTGATATAATTTGGTCACTTGTCTTTTAAGTTGTGTAATTCTCTAGGCACGGATTTTATTCAGTTAGATGTGGTA